AACTAACTAACTAACTAACTAACTAACTAACTAACTAACTAACTAACTACTAACTAACTAACTAACTAACTAACTAACTAACTAACTAACTAACTAACTAACTAACTAACTAACTAACTAACTAACTAACTACTAACTAACTAACTAACTAACTAACTAACTAACTAACTAACTAACTAACTAACTAACTAACTAACTAACTAACTAACTAACTAACTAACTAACTACTAACTAACTAACTAACTAACTAACTAACTAACTAACTAACTACTAACTAACTAACTAACTAACTAACTAACTAACTACTACTAACTAACTAACTAACTAACTAAACTAACTAACTAACTAACTAACTAACTAACTACTAACTAACTAACTAACCTAACTAACTAACTAACTAACTAACTAACTAACTAACTAACTAACTACTAACTAACTAACTAACTAACTAACTACTAACTAACTAACTAACTAACTACTAACTAACTAACTACTAACTAACTAACTTAACTAACTAACTAACTACTAACTAACTAACTAACTAACTAACTAACTAACTAACTAACTAACTAACTAACTACTAACTGACTAACTAACTAACTAACTACTACCTACCTACCTAACTAACTAACTAACTAACTAACTAACTAACTAACTACTAACTAACTAACTAACTAACTAACTAACTATAGCAACTGTAAGAAAAATTTTTACAAGTAACATTGGTTTCAGTATAAATATTTTAGACAAAAATTATTGATCTAGCAATAGTGGGTGCGGCATCTCCCATACAAAGTAAATACTAAAATATCATATCCCATATCTCATACCCACGAGTAACTTTAGCTTAAATATGAATATTTTGGATAAAAATAGGCTCTCCAGCTAATGTGGGCGTGATACCTTCCATATAAAGTTAATGTTAAAATCTGCATATCTGGAACAGCAAAACAGTTCTACTACAACAATTTTGTACGAATAGATGTAGGGTTTATATGAATATTTTTGACAAAAAATGGGCCATTCAGAATTAGGGGGCGTGGCACCTTTCTTATGACTTAAATATTAAACTCTGTATATCTAGAAAACTGTAACAGCTAAAGTCCTCAGAATTTTTTATTTCAGAGAGCTGCCACGTCCACTTACTTAAATAGCCAAAATGGCATAAATTTGTAAAAATTGGCGGACAAGAAATAGTGGAATAGTAGGACATGAAAGTAATGCAGATGGCATGTAAAAGTCATAGCAGAAATAAATCGAAGTTCTTTTAAAAGCAGTAACATTCATCACCACTTCAAAAGAAGTAAATTCTACTTCCTTTTCACTTCTTTGGAAGTTCTTTTTTTTTTGCTGGGTTGTTGTATAAGCACATAGTTTTTGCAGTGAAGGTTTCGATCTGTGATCATCAATTCCGGCTTCTTTGGAAGTTATTTTATTTTTTGCTGGGTTGATGTTTAGATATAAGTCATTCATAGGTTTTCCAGTGAAGATTCATATCTGTGATCATTGATGCCGGCATTTAGCATTAGAAGGGTTTTTATTATTTACTCAACACTGTACGACAAAATATTCGTATAATTTAAAGATTTGTTTAAACAAATGTTTTTAGACATGTCGTATGTGTAAGAAAAACATAAACTAAAACATAGAAAAAAAGACTTCATAAAAAATGCAAACAGCCTAAAAGCATACTATAAAATTATATAAACCAAAAGAAAAAAATCTGTATGTATTATCTAACACAAAACATATACACGTTTAAAAACCACGCTTTTATACAGCAGTTAGTTATTTCAACATTTTTGACCCCAGGAGATCAAAACTTTTTTTGTTCATTCATTTGCCACTAAAAACCGAAAAAACAACAACTAACAAATTTTCAGGTATATTCAGCTATTTTTTATTTTTATGCGCTTTTCTAACCGTATTTCAAATGAAAATGAAGTGAAACAGTAACAGTAGTAGTTAGTTGCTGTGGGAGTAAAAAGTAAATTAATATTTTTCTATGTAATTCTCATTGTTGTTGGTTCTTTTTTCTAATTTAATTCTTTTGCCCAGTAGTGTTTAGAATTAAAAAAAAAAATATGCAAGTGAAAATAAAAATTTTACAGTTTTATGTGTTTTTTTTTCATATTGTTCCTTATATTTTAAAAAAGTTTTTTTGTAAATCATTTTGTTTTGCATACATGGTAGATTTCATTTAGATTTGTGGCATTTATATTTTTTGTTGGTTTTTTTTTTTTTGTTTATTCTATTTTAGTTGTGTTTTAGTACCATTTGGGATGTAATTTTATTAAAAATTTATGCAATTTGGTTTTTTACCCACATTTTATACTAAAACTGACATAAATCTATTGTCATACCTCTGGGACACATATACATACATATATTTATTATATTTTTTTCACACACTCACTGGATACTGGATATTTAAATACTAGAATAGTATGTTCTCTTCGATTTTTTAACATTTAGCATTGCCACAAATAAAGCTGAGCTGTACAAACTTTGATTTATGGGGGGAGAGTGATAATGTTTAATATTTAATGCGAACTTTCCATTAAAACAAGTAGGACATGTCACACTCTATATGTATGTGTTGCTAGGCGTTGTAAAATGTTTCTTTATATACAAGAAGTAAGGATTTTCATACACTTAATATTCAATATTTAGAAAAATTCTGAAAATACCTTTTGAAAAAGGAAAAAGTGTAAAAAGAACATTCTTGTTATAGATTCTCATTCAATCAGTACTTACACTGTCCTAGTAAAAAAAAATAATATTTATACCCTACATCACTATAGTGGGGAGGGTATTATGCGTTTGTGCTGATGTTGTAACACTCTAAAATCACTTTCTAAGTAGATGTAGCGATGTCCGTCTGTCTGTCTGTTCGTCTGTCTGTCCGTCTGTCTTTCTGTCTGTCTGTCCGTCTGTCTGTCTTTCTGTCTGTCCGTCTGTCTGTCCGTCTGTATGACCTTGTAAATTTTGTGCGCACTCTACAGGTCGCAATTTTAAATTTTTCAAGGACGAAGTCTATTGAAAATGGGTAAAACCGATCCATTATTTCGTATAGGCCCCATATAACCATACCCCCCGAATAGGACTTCTGAGTTCATAAATATATTAAATGTTCTTGTATAACTTAAAAAATCGTCAAAACTTAGTTTTATATAAGTCTTAAAGATACTGCTGATTTTCGTAATGATAGGGCCCTATTTGATCCTATCCCCCATAAAAAACAACCCTTCAGAAAATGACTTGATAGCTCCCTCTGCAGATTCTCATTTAATCAGTATCGTGTATGAATCTGTGTTTAATTTCATATAGTTTGGTTTCATTTTATAAAAAAATGCAAAAAAGTACCATTTAAAGAACGAAAAAGTACTAACCAGGCCTTTCTTATAAATACTGAAGGTCACCTTTAACCTTACAAGTTAAATTTTATGTTCCCAAGTTAAGTATTATAGAAAATACAAAAAGTACCAATTTAGATATATCCGTCCATCTGTCCATCATTCCATACATGCAAACTTAATTCACAGTTCAATATTTTAGAAAAAAGTACCTTTTGTAAAAAGAAAAAGTACCAAAATTTTCCCCTTTTATGGATTCTCATTCAATGATTATTTCATATAATTTGGTTCTATTTATATTCTACACCACTTTAGTAGGAAGGGTTTGTGCTGATGTTTGTAACGCACAATAATATTGGTCCTACACCCACCTCAACGTATACCAATCGGTTTAGAATCATTTTCTGAGTCAATTTAGATATATCCGTCCATCTGTCCATCATTGCGTACATGTAAACCTAATTCACATTCTACCTTAATAGTAAAATGTTATGTTCCCCAATTCAATATTATAAAAAATACAAAAAGTACCTTTTGTGAAAAGAAAAAGTACCAAAAATTTCCCTTTTATAGATTCTCGTTCAATGATTATTTCATATAATTTGGTTCTATTTATACCCTACACCACTTAGTAACGCATAATAATATTTGTCCTACACCCACCTCAAAGTATACCAGAATCAGAATCATTTTCTGAGTCGATTTAGATATGTCCGTCCCTCTGTCCGTCATCCCTTCCATGTAAACTTTTTAATCAAACGACAGGTCGCAATTTTGAAGATAACTCAATGAAATTTGGTATATGATCTCGTAATAACCCTGGGACCAAGGCGATTTAAAATGGTTGATATCGGTTCATTATTTCACCTAGCCCCAAGTCAACTGATAATAATTAAGTTTAATATACTCTTACCACAATAAAAAGTGGTACAACTAAGTTTTATACTTGCGTTGGCTGTAGTCCTCATAAAAAAACCCCACCCATTAAAAGAATATCATCATATCAAAATTATTTGTACCCACCATAAGAACAACCGATACTAAAGATAACAAAGAAATTTCCTTTTTACTCATTATCGACTTAAAAGAATCAAATACTTATAAAATGATCTATTTTTTGGTATCAAATCAATACAACAAATTGTCCTTCCATCCGCCAACCATTATTTTTAAAAGGTTTTCCACATCTGCAACTAAGCATTCGAATGTTTATTAAAACATGAGTTTTAACAAATATGTTTTTTTTTCATTTAGTTTTTTTGTCGCATTTTCTACTTGCTGTTTTTCATTTATATAGATTTATTGCATTTTTAATTTAAGTCTTTTGTTGTTCACATCATACATATATTTTTTCCGATTTTTTTTTTGTGTATTCTAAATTTTTTATTCTAAATACAAGTATGTATTTTTTTAATATTTAAATCCATATAAAACTATAACTGGGGAATTTCAAATGAAGTTTAACATTCACAATTTTGCATAATAGAATAAATCATATTATGCAGATGATATAAATGCGATTGTTGGTTAACAATTGAAGAAATAAAACCAACAAAATAAAAAACTATAACATAAAACGCGAATTTTAACGGAAATTATTTTATGTTATAATAGTATTATATATTGAAAATTTTTAATACTTACGTCACATGTTGATGATGATATATTTTTTAAGCTTAAGCGAAATATGCGGTCCCTGGAAGAGAAGAAAAAAATCAAATAAAAATTTATAATGAAATATAATTTTTAACTTTAATTTATAATAAAACAGATGAGAATGTACAGTACAGAACGGATTACAAAATAAATGGTAATTATTAAATCAATTCTATTTTAACAAGATTTCCCTGAAATTGTAATTCAAGGAGAATGTCGAGAGTTTAACGTGAACACCTGCCATGACGGCCTAATTTCACGTTGATCTTTTTCATCCACTGAGTAGACTATAGACGGTCTACCACGCGCCCCTGAATCCGTCCATCCCTGAGCCGGTCCATGTGCAAGCACTTTACTGAAGAAGTAATTCAAGTAGAGCTGGACTTTGGGGTAACTTAACTGCCATCAATGGGGATTACAACTCATTTCCAATGACTAACCAAACAGTCACTCCTCTGAGGGGTACCTGTTGTCTTTTTATGGCAACAGCATCGAACTTATATCGAAATATAGATTTAACCGTGTATCAGTCTTTTAACCAACAGTCTCTTCCAGCGATTCATTCCTCTGAGGGGTACCTGTTTTCTTTTTATGGCAACAGCACCGAACTTATATCGAAATATAGATTTCACCGTTTATCAGTCTTTTACCCAACATTCTCCTTCAACAAGTTTGGGTATAAAGCCGAAGGGACCTATAAAATAATCGGAACAAGAATGAATCAGAAACTGTCATTCGAGCCTAGATCAAATAATTTCAAGAAAAGGTTTAAACCATAGCTACAACGTTCACCCGAAGGGTCCTCTCCAATAACCGGAACAAGACAGAATCCAAAACTGTCGTTCGAGCCCAGGTCAAATAATTCCAAGGAAAGGCCGAGGTTACATCTGATACCACTTGTTTATAGTCCCCCCAGACTAGATGTACTGGTAGAATCTCTTTTTTACACTGATTGTTGATCTCTTTAATATGGGGAAAGTTCATCAAGATAACATTCTAAATTGGGAAATAGGAAAGGAATATCAAATATGTATATATCAATGACCGTAAATCCAACCTTGATAGGAAAACTACCGGCAACCGCATGGGACTGATAGATTTCGCCACGATAAAGAACATGATTATCTGCAGTACAAGATTCCAACATCGTTTTATCCACAAAGGAACGTGGACATCCCTATGATAATAAACCAAGAACCAGATTGATCACGTGGATGTTGCTTAGTTAAAGGTGACAAAAGGAGTGTTATAGAACACTGATCACGTAGATGTTGCTTAGCTAAAGGTGACAAAAGGAGTGCTATAGAGCACTGTTTATTCAGGTGATATTGGCCCACAATGTAAACATGGAGTATGTACTAGGGCAACAAACACCTCCTCAGAAAAAACTACTGTGTAAGAGAGCCGAAGCGCTAGTAAAATCAGCGATCAGTGGTAACACGAAGTAAGCAAGATACCAGATGGTAAGTTGTGAGTGTTAGGAAAGTAGGAATGAGATACGAAAATTCTACAAATGGTCAACTATTAGACAGAAGCTTTAAGTTCAGCTATTTCCAGGAAACATCTTGTATACTGAACATATGAAATGATCATGAGGTAAAAACCTTCGATCGTTTGATCGGTATCCAAACTTAAGACTAACGAAGCTATGGGAGCAAATGTTTTGGTTAATAGACCTCATCCATCAACTCATTGATAACATTTGGTTGAATGATCGAATGCCTGAAAACTGGAACCTCATCTTGCTGTGGTGCCCTCTTCATTAAAAGGAAACAAGACCGAATGTTCTAACTTCAGAGGTATAGTCTCCTTAACATCACATATAAGATTCTGTCAAACATGCTGTGTGAAAGATTGAAAGCTAAAGTCAAGCATATCAATGTGGCTTTGTGTCTGGAAATTCGAATATTGATCAAATTTTCATAATTCTCATATTCAGGAAATGACCGGGAAAAGGCAAATCTAACCATATAATGAGACTGTCAATATTTTGGCTCTAACCCAGAAGTTCGACAAAGAGTTAATGCATCCGAAAAATAAAAAATAAACGGAAAAAAATTGGTAGAATGATTTATATGCACACAAAACATATTCAAATCGTACTTTATCTCGATAGCTTTATTATTCAAAAAAATATATGAGTTTTAGTAATTTTTGGGAAGTAGGCCTATGGGAGCTATGTCTAATTTTGGGCTTATCCAAAAAAATTTCGTAGAGTGATTCATATATAAACGAAACATATTTGTGTCGAATTTTATCAAGATACCTTTATTCGACAATTAAATATGTGCGTTTAAGTGATTTTCGGAAGTGGGCCTTATATGGGAGCTATGACCAATAATGGGCTGATCCGAAAAAATTTGGTAGAATGTTTTATATTTACACAAAACATATTCAACTCGAATTTTATCACAATAGCTTTGGTTATCAATGAAATATTTGCGTTTGGGTGATTTTCGGAAGTGGACCTTATATGGGAGCTATGACCAATTATGGACCTGTACAAAGCTACGTTGGTAGTATGATTTCTGTTGACATTATATTTGCATGTACAAAATTTTGTGTTGATGCTGATATATTTGAGAGAGTTATTAACGATAAACTACTTTACGGGAATATATATCTTTATATGGGGGCTATGGAATATATTCGATGATTTGTTATGATTTTGATCATACTTGATCTCTGGCAGAAAAAACTAACGTGTGGCAAAATTTATCGAAATATCTTCGGTAGTTTCTGAGAAAACTACATAAGATTTTGGAAAAAAACTTAATTTTTTCGAGGAAGTCTGAAATTTTTACTCATAACTTTTGACATCGTGAAGCGATTTCTCTGATTTTCAATTCCAAACTGCCTAGGATAATAAAAAATATTTACCTAGGATAATAAAAAATATTTGATTGATTCCCTACTTTTAGTTTTAACGTGAGCTTCCTAGTAGGACAAACCACATGTTAAAATAACTTGTCAACTGGGTAGTCGGTGGTCTAACCTACCGTAAGTAGTAGGTAAAGTATGTATTTCGGGACTGTCCGGTCCAACTTTTGGGTATATACATACATATAAATATCTTTTAGATATTAATATTGATGAATAGGATCAGTTAAATTAAATTTGTCTACTACTAATGAAAAATACTTACATCGAACCAACATATAAAGAGTCTCTTTCCTCATCCAAATGAAAAGTCCGATAGTACAGCTTGCCACAACTGAATTCGCGTACATGATCTAAAAAGAAAAACACAAAACAGATGTATTAGAAAGAGTTTTTGATTAAAATAAAAAAAACATAAACTTAATAAACTGTCTGAATTATTTTATACCAAATCATATATAATTTTGTTGATTCTACACAATTACATATGCTTGACTCATCAAAATTTTCCAACATGTTATAATTGTACTCTAATACTATACTAAATATTGCATATATTATTTTAGCCTTATTATGTCAAAAATTTTTGTACTTTAAATAAGATAAAGGACAGTCTACTTGAGTGCTATAAATGTATGTATTATTTTTACTAATTAGTAATCGTTAGTCTTAGTTTTAACCAAGATTTCTAGGTCTTTCTCTCTAAGGATAATAATTTCATTGTAGGTCATAGCAAATTATAATACAAAATGATGGTTTATACAAATATGTATGTTTATGAATGTGGTTACGAGGGTTGTTTGAAATGTCTTTTAAAATTTAAGACAGTAAACAGTTTAAAATTATGTATACAATTACAGTTTTGTAGCTAGTTGGTAACTTAAGCTCTGAAGCAGTTAACTCTAAAGCAGTTCTTATGGCGATATATAGAACTTTTTTTAAATAAATCCTTTTAGGACTTTCCTTGCTGTCACATTACTAAGATATTATTTAAGTTATAAAATATGTTTGCTGGTGTATTTGTATAAATCCATATCGTTTCCTACAATATAATGATCATAGGCTTCAATAAGGATCCAATTATTTTGATATTCTGTAGAAAAATGTTCCATGTATACGATTTTTTTCTATTTTTAAATCGAAACGTATCTTCTCAATAAAGAATATTTGTAGAATTTCCGATCGTTTATGACAGACAGACAGACGGATAGACATACAGACAGACAGAAAGACAGACAGAAAGACAGACAGGCAGACAGACAGGCAGACAGACAGACAGACAGACAGACAGACAGACAGACAGACAGACAGACAGACAGACATACAGACATACAGACAGACAGACAGACAGACAGACAGACAGACAGACAGACAGACAGACAGACAGACAGACAGACGGACAGACAGACAGACAGACATGAATAAATCTTCTTAGAGTCTAATAAGGACCCAAAATATTGTAGATCTTCGGCCAGTATTTCGACTGACAAAATCAATATACATACACTCATCCTGATGTTGGCTATAGTAACTATAGACAGATCCTTTAACATTTTAGGTGACGATATGAATTTTATATGACACAAAATGTTTACGTTAACAATTTGTTACCATAATTAATGGTAAACTACACATCATATGGCGTCATTTATTTAAATGTACTTGTGTACATACTTAATACATACATATGTAAGTGTGTTGGTATATGTACATATGTATGTATGTGTGTTCATATTTTTTTTGTGAATAACTGAAAAGATTCCTTAGCTTGTTATTATTGTTATACATAATTTGTTGTTTGCTATTGTCCAATTTTAGTTGGCACTGGTCATGTGATAATTTGTTTATTTTATTGTTGACATCAACAACAATATAACAACTATACTAATAATAGCAGCCACAATAGTAACAACAATAATATTAAACAACAAAAATCACTGCAAAATTTAATACGCGTTTAGAGAATAATACAAACAAAAGAAAATACACAATACTTAGAAAACCACACAAACACATATGTATACAAACAGAAATACATATAAAGCATTAAGTACACAATAGAAAAAAGGATGTGTAAGCTATAAGGTAGTTTTACAAGGAGTAAATGTATCCTTTAAAGCAATATTTTTGTTATATTAATTGTTCTTAAGCAATAAAGCGGGAAGTTAATGGTTACTTTACTGTTGCTAAGTAATTCGATATAGGACTACAGGATCAATTGTCCACAGGATCAATTGACTACAGGATCAATTGTCCACTTGCTATGAACTGCAAATATGGTTGAAGTCTGTAAAGTGCTAATTATCGTTATTACATATGAAAAGAACTTTTCACATACCTAATTCTAAGTTTTAGATAAAATTACTAGATCGGGACAGTCACTCAGTAATGCAGGGTATACCCTAATATATACACACACACTAAAATACTGTAAGTCTCAAGTAAATATTAATTGCTAATATTTTTGCTACATAAACATGTAACGTCTTAATGCTACAAATGGGTTAAAATAAATGGGCAAACACAGTGAGTAAGAAAACATATACAAGAAAATTGGCTGCTAAGCTATAACAAATGCAAGTCCAGTTATAAATGTATTTATAACTAAAAACGGATATTTCTTAAAACAGTTATACAATTAAAATTTATTCAAAGATCATCTTTAGATGACAGTTTAATTAGGTATGTAATAGTTTTCGGTTTTGTTACTCACTGTAACGAAATAATACAAATTAAATATACCTAATGTTAAAAGATTTTTTATACACAAACTATTTAAGTAAACTGTCCAATGTTAAACAAATTGTCGTACGTTTTAACATTAAAACCCTTATATAGTACATACTGACCATACATACATACGTATGTATGTATGTTTGTACAAGAACTTTTTTGTGCTGAAATAATCGTCTCAGTTTTGTGGTTACTTTATTAATGTAATTCTAGTCATTTACAGTTTGTTTTCATTTATTTTACTCTTAACTTTGTAATTAATTATATTAATTAAATGATTATAGAGTTATGGTCAAATATTATATATGTTTGTAAATATTATTTATAATATATTTGTTTGTGAATATGTAACACACAAAATATAGATTGAGGTTTTCTAAAGAAACATTTTTAGTGAAATTAATAAAATAGAGAACTGTTTTAGTTAAATGCTGTTTATACAGACTAATTGATGATTGTATTGTAATACAAAATATGATTAATGGAGATAAGTAAGTGTGGATACTCGGGCATGGACGATTAAAAAGTACCTTAATACAGCTATCAGTTAGAGAATTTAGTTGATCTAATTTAAGGATAATATAATATCAGCACTATCAGACGTAAACTGAACTAGAACTGAACTAGAACTAAACTAGAACTAAACTAGAACTAAACTAGAACTAAACTAGAACTGAACTAGAACTGAACTAGAACTGAACTAGAACTGAACTAGAACTGAACTAGAACTGAACTAGAACTGAACTAGAACTGAACTAGAACTGAACTAGAAACTGAACTAGAACTGAACTAGAACTGAACTAGAACTGAACTAGAACTGAACTAGAACTGAACTAGAACTGAACTAGAACTGAACTAGAACTGAACTAGAAACTGAACTAGAACTGAACTAGAACTGAACTAGAACTGAACTAGAACTGAACTAGAACTGAACTAGAACTGAACTAGAACTGAACTAGAACTGAACTAGAACTGAACTAGAATTGATCTAGAACTGAACTAGAACTGAACTAGAACTGAACTAGAACTGAACTAATAAACTGAACTAGAACTGAACTAGAACTGAACTAGAACTGAACTAGAACTGAACTAGAACTGAACTAGAAACTGAACTAGAACTAACTGAACTAGAACTGACCTAGAAACTGAACTAGAACTGAACTAGAACTGAACTAGAACTGAACTAGAACTGAACTAGAACTGAACTAGAACTGAACTAGAACTGAACTAGAACTGAACTAGAACTGAACTAGAAACTGAACTAGAACTGAACTAGAACTCGAACTAGAACTGAACTAGAACTGAACTCGAACTGAACTAGAACTGAACTAGAACTGAACTAGAACTGAACTAGACTGAACTAGAATGAATAGAACGAACTAGAACTGAACTAGAAACTGAACTAGAAATGAACTAGAACTGAACTAGAAATGAACTAGAACTGAACTAGAAACTGAACTAGAATGACTAGAACTGAACTAGAACTGAACTAGAACTGAACTAGAACTGAACTAGAAACTGAACTAGAACTGAACTAGAACTGAACTAGAACTGAACTAGAACTGAAACTAGAACTGAACTAGAACTGAACTAGAACTGAACTAGAACTGAACTAGAACTGAACTAGAACTGAACTAGAACTGAACTAGAATGAACTAGAACTGAACTAGAACGAACTAGAACTGAACTAGAACTGAACTAGAACTGAACTAGAACTGAACTAGAACTGAACTAGAACTGAACTAGAACTGAACTAGAACTGAACTAGAACTGAACTAGAACTGAACTAGAACTGAACTAGATAACTAGAACTGGAACTAGAACTGAACTAGAACTGAACTAGAAACTAGAACTGAACTAGAACTGAACTAGACGAACTAGAACTGAACTAGAACTGAACTAGAACTGAACTAGAACTGAACTAGAACTGAACTAGAACTGAACTAGAAACTGAACTAGAACTGAACTAGAACTGAACTAGAACTGAACTAGAACTGAACTAGAACTGAACTAGAACTGAACTAGAACTGAACTAGAACTGAACTAGAACTGAACTAGAACTGAACTAGAACGAACTAGAACTGAACTAGAACTGACTAGAACTGAACTAGAACTGAACTAGAACTGAACTAGAACTGAGAACTGAACTAGACTGAACTGAACTGAACTAGACTGAACTAGAACTGAACTAGAACTGAACTAGAACTGAACTAGAATAACTAGAACTGAACTAGAACTGAACTAGAACTGAACTAGAACTGAACTAGAACTGAACTAGAACTGAACTAAACTGAACTAGAACTGAACTAGAACTGAACTAGAACTGAACTAGAACTGAACTAGAACTGAACTAGAAAGAACTGAACTAGAACTGAACTAGAACTGAACTAGAACTGAACTAGAACTGAACTAGAACTGAACTAGAACTGAACTAGAACTGAACTAGAAACTGAACTAGAACTGAACTAGAACTGAACTAGAACTGAACTAGAACTGAACTAGAACTGAACTAGAACTGAACTAGAACTGAACTAGAACTGACTAGAACTGACTACTGAACTAGAACTGAACTAGAACTGAACTAGAACTGAACTAGAACTGAACTAGAACTGAACTAGAACTGAACTAGAACT